AGATGAAGGGGGAGCCGACCTCGGCGGGGTACGGGAAACCGAGCCCACAGAGGAGTCGGAGTCGTCCTTCTTCTGAAACCTCATCGGGGTAGAGAGTATGTACATCCTTGTCATCCTTCTTGGCCTTCTTCTCCTTCTTGTGGTCTGGCATCTGCCTTGACGGATGAAGGAACTGGAAACTCCACATTTTACCCTCACCTGACAAGACGATGGGAGGAGGGTCGCGACGCTCTGGCGACACGATCCAGACCGGGGCGAACAGGCCGAGAAACGCTAGCTAGTTGCGCGCGGATTACTGGTACCCGTGCTCTGCCACGGGCAAAACACATCTTGAGCCAAAATGGCTACGGAGGCGGAGGAGGATAAGGAGGAGGAGGAGGAGGAGGAGGCGGAACGGAACACACAGGAAGAAGAAGAGCAGAGGAGAATTGCTGGAAAAGTTTGAATGTTTGTGCCCCACTCCCATCCCCCTCCAGGGCCAGGAGCCGATCTTACGAGGACCTCCAATGCGAAACCGCCGATTCACGCTTAATGCTTTAATTGCCTTGCGAAAGCAACGTCGGCGGGCGCGATTGGGGGCCAATTTCCCTGTGCCGCTCAACCTTTTGTAATGTATTCTAAACTGGTTCGCTGGTTCCCATTAGCTCGTGCTGCGACTAACGTCTCGCCTGTGTTGGGTGGTCTCACGTGCGCTGTTCTTCCCTGGTGCGGTCTGGTCTCGCTTGGTCATGCACTGTCTATTCGAATGTTATCGGGTGTAACGCCGATTGTGCTGGTCTGGTCTGACCGGTTACAAAAATCCGGGTTGGGCTTGCCGAGAGCTTCTGATTTTTTTGTTGTTACGAGTCGGAGGGCGCCAGGCCTGCGCTCGCCGGCCGTCCCCGGGGATGCGTGGTCTTTTTGACTGCCGTCCTCGGAGTGCTTGGTCTTGTTTCTTGACTGCCGTCTTCGGAGTGCTTGGTTTTGTTCCTTCACTGCCTTCATCGAATTCCTTCATCTTGGTTGCTTGCTTCCTAGCAATGCCAGGCCATGCCACACAACGCTTGACAATGTTCGGCAATGCCAATCCGTGCCAAAACATGCCATTCATTGCAACAGAACCAAGCAATACCGTGCAAAACCAAGCAAAGAAATGTCAAGGAACGCAACGCAAAGCCCCGCAACGCCAAGCAAAGCCGAACAACGCAAAGCAATGCCAAGCAATGCCGAACAACCCCAACCAATGCCAAGCACTGCCGACACAAAACAATGCAAACTAATGCAACGAACAGCCAAGCAATGCCAAACACTGCCAAGCAATGTCGTGCAATGTAATCAGAAATCGGCGACCGTCGGTTTGCGGACCTCTCGGTGACCCGTAATAATATGTTACTTACAGAAACCAAGCGAGAAGCACTGAGTGCAGCCACTGTCAAATGCTGGTCACATGTGCTGCGGTCTCCTTGCAAGCGAATGGTGCTGATCAACAGGATGTCTCGATCAATTCTCTCAACAATGAAATTCTGCGTGGTCTGCAAAACGATCTCGAATGTGTGCCGGCTAACTTTGGCTCAGGCCCCGGTTGGCATGACCGATTGCGGAGAAACAATGTGGCGGCGCTCTTGAATAGCCTGATCTAGTGGACGTATCGGTTTTCAACTCAATCCTGCCTACAACCCTGCCTGGGGAGCAGTAGCTTTGCACGACACGGTGCGCATGGAATGCGACAAAAATGACATGTCACGCGGTTGCATTTCCATCATGCCAGTCATATCAAGGAAGCAAGCGATGAACATTGATACTATGGGCGATGAGAGCACCATGGTGGAAACATGGCACCACAATTGCAATGCCACATATTGCGCAATCACACAGGCATCCCAGGGCACGAAATGCATACTAGACCAACTCAACAACACACATAGAAACTAGACGCCAGTGCAGTCGGAGACATACGAACAAGGCCACTGGAGCCCCTGAACAAAAATTGCTCCTGCTCGGGAGAAATGGACAAGCGACAGGCGGCGTGACAGTAACGCCGAAGCGGCTTCCGCCGCGAGCTCGTGGCCTCGTGCCTCGTACCGAGCGCGAAATGTTTATGCGCGAATGTCTATGGATCTTGATCCGCTCTGGACAGACGTCTGGCCCGCGATCGATCGCAGGACAGGGCGAGCCGAAAGCGCGACGATGAACTGCTTCTTCTGATGCTCGAACTTTCGTGCGGCTCTGGGGAGCTCGTCACAATTTGACCGGTTCCAGAAGCCCTGCGCCCCCCAAAAAATGCCATCTCTTGGTGGGGCGATTTTCCTTTCCGCCAGCTTCCGCCGAGCTTTCGCCGAGATTCCGCCGGCGGACCCGTCGCTTTTTTGCTCCCGCCAGTTTCGGCCGCCCACTTTGGCAAGAAAGACAGCCGCGGTCGCGTGCTGCATGTTGCCACTTCCAGAGCTGCTGCTCACGTGCTGGGCTCTCCGGCAGTCCGCCCTGGGTAAGAAATCTGACTCTGCGGCTCCTTCTGCTCCCGCTCCCGCGGAGGGCGACGCGCAGTGGGTACCGCGTCGCCGTGGTCCGGTGATGGCCCCACGGTGTTCCGATGGTGGCTGTCGGCGGCGCGCCGAGGGGGGAAACGACATCCCTGATCCTGGCGTCTCAACTTTTTCGAACCAGGCGTGTTCGCCGGTTTCGGGCCCCAAGACCCTCACATATCGATCCGACTCGCCAACTGGCCCAGAAAAATTGGGGTTCGGGGCTCTGGTCATGATTCGCACGATGTTGCATGTCTTTGCTTAGTCGGATCTCAGTGGTTGAGTGGGGTCGAACTCGGCGGCACGCCAAGGGGGAAGTTGGAGGGGGCAGGCCTTCTCAGAAGGCGGCGAGGCATCTCGGAAGCCCTCTGGCCTTCTCAGAAGCCTTGCATGGCTTCGGAGAAGGCGGCTTGGGAAGCTTTTCCGAAGGCCAGAGGCGTTCAAGTGAACGTGCAACCGAACGTACATTCCGACGCTATCGGGATAAGCATGGATACAAGCACGGATCCATATGCGGAGTCCGAAACAGAGAGTGACATCTAAGAGGCGCGCATGATATGCGTCTGGCCCCGTCGCCTCCTTATCGGTAAAAGGCCAGACTAGCCAGTGGAGCAACATACCTGTCATTTCGCTTGCTTGAACAGGCTCTGTGTTGCTTCTTCTGTGCGTCCGTCAAAGGAGGGATATTGCATGCAGGACCCATGGAACAATACAGTATCTACGCAAGCACTGTGAACATGGACGAGACAAGGATGTGGTTGCGAGCGCAATGCGTACATGCGAACACCAAGACGCACATGTGTACAACTGTGCGCCAGAGTCTTTTCTTTTACAGGTGGCGAGTCAAGGACAAACCGATGGATCCAATACTGCGCTCTAGACGTTATTGTGCGCGGATGTACCCACAGCCACCTGTGTCTGAGGCTTCGTTATCATCCAAGCGCCTCGTGTGATCAAACAAATGTAATTGCAACGATGATGATCCCCTAAACTGCCTTATAATGTCGAGACTGGCAAGCTGGGAAACTGGGTTAAGATATGCTGTGGGGGATGGTGCGCGTAAGTTTGTAAACTTGTGCTGAACAGCTTAATCTCGCCAAGGGAGCAACCACCTTGAACTAATCCTACGGACATCCTGATACCCGAAACACGTGACGCCATCTTCGTTGGATAGTTAGATCCGTCTAGGATTGCTTACGAACAACTGCTCAAGGAACGCATGGTACGGTTCCTGCTATCACCGCTGGCGGGGGAGACAGCGAGAGTGGGCTGATTAGCAGACCCTCTGTCTTATTCCCACTGTCAATCCCACCAGCCCTTTAGAGCGTAGGTGGTCTAGAGAGCTTCCTCTTCCAACCCCCTTCTTCCCCTTCGGGGAGGGGTTCACCCCTCCTCCTACCCCCTCCCCTGGACCTGGACGGGGGGTTCCGCGGGTTGTTGGAGCGTCCAAAACGGCCTCGGCGAGGAAACCAACATCATTTGTTTTACTTAGGTTTTTGCCCCTTTTTGGCCTCCTGGAGGGGGACCCTAATCCAGGAACCCCCCTTCTTTGATCGATCTCCTCCGAGATGGCCCCAAGAGCGCTCCCAAGGCTCCCAAGGGTGCCCCAAGAGGTGGCCAGGAGGCCCCAAGATGCCACCAAGAGGCCCCCAGGAAGCCCCAAGAGGCTCCCACGAGGCCCCCCAGCCAGAGGCACCCAAGACGCTCCACGAGGCCTCGGCGAGAATGCCAACATCATTGATTTTACTAGGGTTTCGGCAACATTTTGACCTCCTGGGGGGGGGGGCGCTGATTAAGATGACTCCAAGAGCGCCTGGGAGAGCCCAATATGACCTCCAAGATGGCTCAATATATCCTAAGATGCCTCAAAATGGCTCCCACGATGCTCCAAGAGGCCCCAAGACCGCTCCAAGACGGCTCCAAGTTGCCAAAGAGCTCCCCCAGGAGGCCCCGAAGAGGCCAACATTCTTCCAAAACCTTAGGACAATCAATGTTTTTGGCTTTCTCGCCTTTTCGCTTCCGATGGCCATCCGAGGCCTCAAGACGGCTCCAAGATGGCCCAAGAGGGCTCCAAGAGAGGCTCAAGAGATCACAAAGACGGCCCCAAGTAATTAATGCTCCCCTCTTGTTTGATCGATGTCCTCCAAGATGGCCCCAAGAGCGCACTCAAGAGCGCTTCAAGAGGGCCCCAAGAGGCGCCCAGGAGGCCCCAGGAGGCCCCAACAGGCCCCCAAAAGGCCTCCAAGAGGCTCCCAAAGACCCCCAAGAGGTCCCAAGAAGCTCTCCGAGGCATCCAAGACGCTCTAATATGCGTCCGGGACCGCCAAGAGGCCCCCAAGACGCTCCAAGAGGCCTCCACTGGGGGACCCTTCCTCTGTGTGCTGCCCACTTCCCTGATCGAGGCAATTCCTCTGGGCATCGTTTCTGGATGGGCTGGTGGGGTTACGCGAAGCGTCTATGATGTTTTAAGCTAGTGTCGCTGGACGGCGCTCTCTGAGACCAGCCCCCTCCATCGACTCGCCGCTCTGCCAGCTCCAGCGAGAAAGTGATGATACTTTTTCAAACAACAGTGCGACAGATCCAAGTTCTACTCTGGCTTGGAATATTCGTCCCACGGACTTTGTGCAGCATGTTCACTGGAGAAGGGATTGTTGGATAACCTTTGGTATGAGACGCGTACGCCGCATGAATCTTTCTGAAGACAACCCGACGCCCCTGGAGCTCAAAACCCCGGAAGCGGCGATGCCAAACAACATGGAAGAAAGCCGAACTGCTCGCTTTCCTTTGAACATCCCTTGCCCAGCGGGTCTACCGAAATTTGAAACACTTGCCGCCGCCTTATCTGCCCTATGGCATGGCCGCGAGGGATCCTGTCCAGCGCTTGCGCCATGTGACAGGAGAGCTGGACACATACTTGAAACTCACAACGCGCACAAAGACAAACAGCAAGACTCACAATCGAATAGACCGGCTGGAGAAATCCAATTCAGTCTCTGAAGCCATGTCTCGGCGCCGAAAGATTTAAATTAGTCATGTGCTTCCGCGCGCACTCAGGCTGCCAAGAACAGAAGTAGACGACTTAGTCTCATGTTCACCGACTCTTGACACGCCATGGGGCTCACAAGACGTCTGACATGTCGGAGTTTACCACCATTTTCTCCGTTCCCACGGGCAAGGTAGTGACCAGCTGCTGGACCTTAAGTACCACCCAGATTACCAAAATGTCCGAATCAATATCAAACGCGGCCGCTTCGGAGAAATCATTGTTCGCGCCCTGATCGGTGCTGTGACTCGACTCGCAACAACCAACAAACGTACGCTCTCATGTCATAGGGGCCCCGAAGCCAGGATCGTATAGCTGGTGTAGATGGGCTTCTAGATTGTATGGCTGATGTAGGCGTAGATTGACCGCCTCCCCTCTTTCCCCCCCCCGCTCTCCTCCCGCCCCAATCCTACCTCCCTGCCCCTCTAAAGCATTCATGGAGCGGTGCGGGAGGACCTTCCAAACAAAACGGCCGTTTGCGGCATGTCCTACCGGCTGAAATTCTATCGGGATTCGACCTGGTAGGTTGGTGCCGAGATGCGCGGTTAGGGGGCCTCGTCTCCTCGTGTGCTGGGGGGGGTGACATGAGCGCGCAGTACCATGTTCCTCGACGTATGGTTTTCAGACAGTGGTTGCTGGATGATTCCGGCATCGAGGTGGCAATTCGGGGGTGTGTCTTTCTTTGCTGCACATACCGACGATAAGGCACGACAGTATGACCAGCATACTGCAACCAACATCAGATCTTTGAACTGAGACGTAACGTGTCACCTAAAATTGAAGTTTCCCGTCCAGAGCATCGCTACATCACCGTTTTCCCAATGTAACCACTGGTTGTTGATGCCCTGACGCGCTTGAATTGTGAGAAGAATTCAGAAACGTATATGTCAATCAGACATCCCAAACACGTCATGCTTACACACTAGTGCTGTCCACCACCGTGCCTGCACCAGCGTTAGAACGCTGGGTGCTTCTGTGCAAGATCTTGCATTCAAATCATTTGCTCCGCTCTACTCGTAGACAGGGGCTCGCGTACTCACTGCTCCCGAGGCCACGACCCCTTGTGAAAAATCAATGGTCCGCGTTCCCGAGGCCACGATCCTTTTAGAAAAACGATGCGTCCGCGTCCCGAGCTTCCAAGACGGCCCAGGCAAGCATCCAAGGCAACCAAAATGGATCAATCTGCCTCGAAGACAAGCGAAGGTGGCCTCAAGGCGGCCGGATTTGGCTTCGAGACGGCCCAATATGCCTCCAAGAGGGCCCAAAACGTCACCAAGAAAATCTCCAACAGGGCCCGAAGAAACCACACTCATGGATGTCCTCTGGGTCGGGCGTCCGTCGGCTCAAGCTGGCCTACGAAGCCTCCACGATGGCCCCAAGACGGCCCAAAAAGCCTCCACGAGGGTCCAAGTGTGGCCCAAGAGGACCCCACGAGGCATCCAAGGTGGCCCCGAGACGGTCCACTAGTTTAAAGGGGGTTGGAAAGGGCCAACCACCAGCTTCGCCTAAGGCGAAGCCCAGCTCCTGCTCTGTTGTACCGTAGTAACGATAGTCCCAGACGTAGGAGGTCGTCGCGGGAGCGACGGGCCATCTCAAGCGAATATGTTTTCGGTCTCGATGGCAAGTAATGTGCCTCGCGATGAGGCGCAATCATATTTCGGCGGCCGGCCGCTTGAATACAAACGGCCGCGGACAAACGCTCGCTATCTCTCGCCTTTGCCCCTGCTCTCTGTAGAGTCGGGGGAAGGAAACGAAGCGGGAGTCCGCCGCCCGCTATACAGTAAACACTACATGTACAAAAAACAGCAAAACGCAGGTTCGTAACGAAGGTGAACCCGCACGCAAGTGCCCTTGCACCCAAGTTGCCTTGCGAGCAGATCGATGTGCAAGCGAGTGCTCCACATGCGGCCTCAGACGACGTTGTCTGGCCAGCCCGGTACGGAGCATGATGTTTTAAGTCATGCTTGAAGGATTGCGTTTCTCCCATGACCTGTAAGAACATATATCTGTTACTGCTCTTTTTCGTGTGACCGTCCGCGGTCATGTCGCGAGTGTCACACCACTAGATACTATGCGCGAGATCTCACTCCATCATCTGTCGTATCCAACTGATGTGTCCCTAAGAACACACTCGGTCGGCTTCTTCAGGTCTTTAGTGGACAAGGACTTGAATACATATTCAGCATCTATGGTCAATGTGACCTTATTGCTCAGGCCACCCATCTCCAGTATATCCTTCAACTGAACGGGTGTCAGTGGCCCTGCGTGGAGTTCGTGCAGAGTAACGATCGTGGGGTAGCAGCCCTCCAAGTTGTGGGCTGCTGCTCGTGTTTCTGCTGAACAGCTTGAGCGGACCTGCAAGCGGTGAGACTTGCAGTGCGCATCGATCAGATGGACGACAGGCGTACCAATTGGCGCGTTTCCGCGCCGTAGCAGGTTTGCCCCGCGAGTGCCATAACCATTGACCTCGTCGTCAGCATCTTCACTCAGGCGTCGATAGCCGGAGTCGCGGTGCAGGTCAGCTTCGCCCGTTGGGGTCATCGATTGATAGATGACCTCCTGAGGGCAGGCCTGCAACTTCCCGGTGATCGCGTTCAGTCGTCGCACCTGTACGTTCGTGGGTTCTTGGACACGTTATAGAGAAACAACATATGCCATCAACCACACCTGCGTGATGAATGCGAAAGCCAACGCGCCTCTGAGGCTAACAAACATGTCAGTAACCATCTTTGACGCTTTGGCGTTAGCGTTTGCGCCTGTGAGTTCAGGATGTTGTGTAGGACGGAGCTGTTTGATGTACTCATCTTGATCCAGTGTAACATTACCGTCCCCATCCTTGGTGTACCTCGCATCAGAATTGGTATTTTGTTGAGTTTTCCACTTGCCAAAAATATCCTTAACGCACTTGACGTACCTGTCGATGGTGTCCTCGGTGCCGGCCATATTGATATTATCAACATGCTTGGCTGTGAGAAGGTTGTTACTAGTCTCGAACTCCACGTCGTAAGATGTGAGTCTGAGACCGACCCCTCTCGTGGTCTTTCTGAGCTTCAGGGAGAAGGCTCCGGGTGCATCCTTGGTGCCGGTACCTGGCTTGAGGCGCTGTAAGCAGTGCTTTGACCCATCGTAATGCTCGAATCCTGGGAGGGGTCGAAGCGCCGATGCTGATCCAGGTGGCAGTGTGAAGGACAGCACGCGTTCCTTATCACCTGTTGCCTCAGCGAGTTCCTGATAGGTCAATCCCCTGAGGAAAACCATGTTGATGTCAAGGGAAGCAATGGTCCATTGCTTCTTGCACGCTGCCGCGCTTGCGAGTAGTCTCTGACTTGGCCGCGGTGCTGTCCCTGAGAAGGTTTCCGCATCGAAAACCTCGAGGCCCATGATAACCCCGAAGTACCGAGCGTAATCTGATGGTCCATTCCATGTCGGCCTCTTCGTTCTCTACGAGCTTCCACTTATATTCGTGTTCGTATCTCGCAGTCGTGATGTTTGGCACCTTTGATATATCTTGCATCTTGCAGCGCTTATTGTCAAACCGTGTCTTGAATTCAGTATATAGGGCGATTCGCCTGAATATCGACCTTCGTGAGGAGGTCGTCCTCTTCGACGACCGCAGCTCCTCTGGCGGCAGCGATCGCATATACTCGCATGGTGGTCGCGCGGTCGAAGTCTAATATCCTATGTTGTTGTTCGGATAGGACTGCCTTTGACATGTCTGCAGTAAAACAGAACTCTGAAAATTGACCTACCTCGTCTGAGTCCAATCCGTAAGTGTGGTCTTCGCACGTGGAACATACTGGGACATGATATGTCTCGGTGATGTCGGAGTCGCGTGGGTCGCTCCACGTAGGCAGGAAGCCCCGCTGTTCTGCAGCTACCGTGACCAGCATTCTATTGTCGATGATCATATATGTGGGTACAGTGTGAAGGTCATCTAATGGAGTTGCCTCCAATACTTCCATTTCTTCCTGTAGTTCTGTGTGCAGCACTTCCATGATATGTGCCTCCAGGTCCGCTTCCGATTCCTCATGCATCGTAGGTAGCCGTCCGTCCTCCTGTGGTGGTTCGGCTTCTGGAGCTTCTCTGGCATTGTTGTCCTGTGTTGTCATGTCTTGGTCGGAGCCCGCTTGAGGTTTAGTGGACTTTAGGAATTTGATGATCCTCGAATGTGCTGAGCCGGTTATATCATGTACATTCGGGGCAGTGCCTTCAGCTCCATAGTAGTGGATGCCTGGGTGCACGTCGTTGTCATAGTGCGCCAATGTACAGCTGTCAGCATAAGCCACCGGAGGTAGCTCGTGGATGCTCTTAGCATGACAGGAATTACGATCACGATACGAAAGAAGTTCCTGATAAGGTATAGGAAAGCTAATAAGTGTACCTTCGGAGATAGTCGGCTCGCACTTGCCATCTGAAGCGTTCCCATGTTGGTAGGGATGTAGCCACATGTCATAGCGGGTGGCCTCGCAGGTAGGCTGGCGACAAATGTCGACGCTGTCCGTGGCGCAGAGTTGTCTGAAACAATTTCTCGGCCAATCAAAGCTTCAATGTATAGTGAATGTCGTGCGTCGCCGTGTTGGACTTGTACATCGCGGTTTCCCACTCGGATAATAACTTGGCCCCTGTCGGGATCGTTCCGTACGACGGGGAAATGGCCGTTCCAGCCTTCCCAGTCGTCCTCCGTAGACGCGGGGCGATGATAGTCGACCAAATCTCCCTCATCGTAGTCGTGCTGACCAGTGGTAGTCGTCTTAGTACGCAGTTTACGATTGGTTTTGGCTACTGCAGTAGCTTGTGTGATAGGCTCAGTGCATGCCCGGCGGATCACCTGTTCTCGAGGGTGATCGGATGTCTCTGTCTGCTGTTTTTAATCCAGAACAGGCAGGTCGGGCAGCATTGCTGGTTGCCGTCCGAATAAGGCGTTGTATGGAGACACCTCATCGTAAAAAGTGAACGCGTTGGCGGCAAACGAAGCTTCATGCAGTAGTCGTGTGAACACAAAAGGTGTATCTAACCTTTTGAGCTCAGCTTCCATGACGTGCAGTTAATTGCGAAAT